GCCAGTTTAGCTTGCTCCTACTAGTATTTGAGCTCTTTTATCAACAGTCATCATGACTTGTGTTTCACATAGTATAGAAAACGCCCAAAGAAACACACAAAAAAATAAGTCTTTTATTTCATTTCATTTAATTTTACTTCTATGGTCTGCCTCTGTAATATTTTTTTGTGAAAAGGAATAAAAGTTGCTGGTTTTATACAGCCACTAGTTTAATTTTAGCTGTAAACTGCAGTGAATTGTATGTAGAGGCACATTTTTCCAATGAGCTTGTGTTGGTTTTCATAGATGTCACTATTGTATCAGAAAGAGCATAGTGAATATTCTTCAAAATATGTCCTGCATACAAGATATGAGGGTGTGTAAATAATGACAGAATCCTATAAAGATCCAGCCTTTGAGTAACAGACAACTGTCACATAGATCTATCATTCTCCTTTATCAAAAATTTCAACAGTATAGCTTAGTCTGGAAAATAAATATAGGTGAATTGCACAACCAGCTCCAAAAATGGTGAAAGAATCAGCACCAGTTTCCTTTTTATGAAATACTTTTATGAAATACAGTTTACTTTTTGTCTTTTTCTTCTCATAGCCTTGCATTTGGCCCCTGAGGGAGTTGCGTGGAGGTGATGGAAACAGGGAGCCAGATGAATTGTGCATGACCCTGGTTTTGAAGAGTTTATTATGCTTGAGCGAATGTGCCCTGGCTAGCAAATAAGATGTGATCTAACCCAACAGATGAGTGTTGAATTTAAGCCCTTTACACAACCAAAGGCTACGATGCTAACGCTAACTTTGGTTTAGCCTGCAGAAGGGCTATTGCACTGGTGAGTTATGATGCCTTCAAGTCCTGTCAGAATGATGGCATTCATGAGATTTATGAGACACTATTATAATCATCTTTAGATACGTAACTAGTTAAGTAATGTTGATGAAAATACTACTCATTAAGGTGTTTTTAAACATTCTTGTGTGGTAAAACATAGACAAACACATGAATAAGGCATCTCATGTGCATTCTTTCACCTTTGTTTCGTAGCAGTAGCGCTAAAGAGTTTTGTTCAGAAATTAAGACAGAAAAACATATCTCATATCTTGTTGTACTTACAGTTAGAGAACTGATAAAACACATCCCAGGAGAACTTGAAGGCAGAATAACAACAACGTTTATTAGCGCTAATTTTCACAGGAAGTTATTGTGTGTGTTAGCAAATTATTTATGTGGGTTTGAAAGTCAGTCAGTCCCATTATCCAATTGTGGGTTTTACTCTTGTCTGTATGATAGATTTACACGCTATTAAACATGTTTCTGTCTATTCCAGACCTACGTGAGTGGTCTGGTTATTTATTTACAGTCCTTTTCAGACTGACATGAATGGTTTGTTGTATCCACACTGTGGATAGAGCCTTTTTCAAATTTAATGCAGAGCTATGGATCAACACAGGTCAAAGGTCACTGACTGAGGTCAGCTAACTAACAGTGTCTATTTTTTCCTCTCAGAACTGCTGCTAAAATGGAAGGCAGTAATAAAATGTCACTGTGCATATTGCTTTTTGGTTTTTACGCTGCTGCTATGCCCTGCTGGATTGTTAGTGTTTGTCAAAGTATGCAAGAATAAAGTAAGACCATAGTTCCTCTCAAGACAGTCTTATTGGTTAATTACTAACATTTTCAAATCACTAACCTTTAAAGTTAAATTACGTGGCTGATGTTATAATCTATATAGATTTTTGAATGTGTATAACTTGAAGCATCAGTGAACCTGAAAGTCGAACATACATTTCTAATAGGGTTTCTTGTTTGGACTCGTAAATTAGTTCAGTTTTTGCCTTTATTGAATTTGAAATCAATCAGCAAAATATCTAGTGAGGATAAAAAACAAATACAATCGTCAAAATAAGAGTTCTCTTTGTAGCTTTGGTAACACTTCACATACACAATTGGAGCAGATGGCATATTTAGTTTGACGCAAATTGGAAAGAGGCTATGAGGAAACAAAATGCAAAAAAAAAGTTAAAGAAGCAATAATTCAAAGTTTTAATTCACATTTATGATCATGTCTATGAAAGCGATGAGCCCTTCGATATGTCCCATCCAAACTTCCTGTTTCAACAGGAAAAAAAGTCAACACATTAAAAATTATAAATAAATAAATATGCTGTCAGGCCTTTAAAGTCATGTCTAATTTTGCTCAAGTGTAACAAAAAGGAAAAAAAATATTGTTGACTGAATCATTGAGAGTTTAATGGATTGTACAGACTGTTCTATTTCCCATAGCCGTGTATTAAATCATTTCAAATTAAAATATGTTGTCTGCTGTAACACATTGTCGGTTATATTATATGCCACACATACTACATGTAAATACAATTAATTACAATATTTAAATAATACTAACATCATGTATTTTCAGGTATGCTTATAAAGAGTTATGTCCATTACCATCACTTAGTTTTTACTATTTTAACATGAATACTGTAATGTAAATGGTGAACTTTAATATAACAAATGGGAAACAATGTATGGTTACACTATCGTTTTGTTCTGAATTTGATTAAAACCATATTGGCATCCCACAACTGATGCACAAAACCCAGAAACTCACAGAAAAGACATTTAGATATTTTTTTATGATGTAAGTGCAGGTGTAAGATGTATTTTTATTAATAAATCTAATGGAAAAACGACTCATTTAGATGATCATATCACTATGCTGCAGCTTCACACGAAACATTTTTCAAGCTAATTTTATTATCTGTCAAGTAATAGATTTTCATTTAAACCGAGTCTTATATGATACCGCATATTGGTTTCATGAGACCTTAACCACTTACTTTTGTGAAGCTGATAAATGTTACAGTATGACATACAAACGTTCATCTGACTCTACACTCTTACAAATAAAGGTGCTTCACGATGCCATAGAATAACCTTTTTGTCTAAATGGTTCCATAAAGAACCTTTGATATCGGAAGAACCTTTCCACTTCACATACACAATTGGAGCAAATGGCATATTTAGTTTGACGCAAATTGGAAAGAGGCTATGAGGAAACAAAATGCAAAAAAAAAGAAGTTAAAGAAGCAATAATTCAAAGTTTTAATTCACATTTATGATCATGTCTATGAAAGCGATGAGCCCTTCGATATGTCCCATCCAAACTTCCTGTTTCAACAGGAAAAAAAGTCAACACATTAAAAATTATAAATAAATAAATATGCTGTCAGGCCTTTAAAGTCATGTCTAATTTTGCTCAAGTGTAACAAAAAGGAAAAAAAATATTGTTGACTGAATCATTGAGAGTTTAATGGATTGTACAGACTGTTCTATTTCCCATAGCCGTGTATTAAATCATTTCAAATTAAAATATGTTGTCTGCTGTAACACATTGTCGGTTATATTATATGCCACACATACTACATGTAAATACAATTAATTACAATATTTAAATAATACTAACATCATGTATTTTCAGGTATGCTTATAAAGAGTTATGTCCATTACCATCACTTAGTTTTTACTATTTTAACATGAATACTGTAATGTAAATGGTGAACTTTAATATAACAAATGGGAAACAATGTATGGTTACACTATCGTTTTGTTCTGAATTTGATTAAAACCATATTGGCATCCCACAACTGATGCACAAAACCCAGAAACTCACAGAAAAGACATTTAGATATTTTTTTATGATGTAAGTGCAGGTGTAAGATGTATTTTTATTAATAAATCTAATGGAAAAACGACTCATTTAGATGATCATATCACTATGCTGCAGCTTCACACGAAACATTTTTCAAGCTAATTTTATTATCTGTCAAGTAATAGATTTTCATTTAAACCGAGTCTTATATGATACCGCATATTGGTTTCATGAGACCTTAACCACTTACTTTTGTGAAGCTGATAAATGTTACAGTATGACATACAAACGTTCATCTGACTCTACACTCTTACAAATAAAGGTGCTTCACGATGCCATAGAATAACTTTTTTGTCTAAATGGTTCCATAAAGAACCTTTGATATCGGAAGAACCTTTCTGTTTGACAAAAGGTTCTTTGTGGCGAAAGAAGGTTCTTCAGAATATAAAAAGGTAAGAAAGAGATGGTTCTTTAAAGAACCTTTGACTGAATGGTTCTTTGTGGAACCAAAAATGTTTTTTCTATGGCATCGCTTGAAGAACCTTTTGAAGCACCTTTATTTTTAAGAGTGTAGTTTAAACAGAACTTTTCTAATTCCTTTATAATTATTATGCATGGATCTTTATCACATCATATTATTTCAAAGACTTTAATAATTGTAATGCAAAATTTGTCAGAACACAGGGCCATATAAAATTAGCTAGTAAAGGCAAAAGGTGATTAAAATGGTGAAAAAAGAAATGATGTTTAAAAATATATGCCATCTCTCTTATACCTTCATATCATTTTTAAAGGTCCCCTGAAATGCTTAGAAACACGCAGCGTTACTCTTTGTGTTGACGTCATTTTAACTGAAATAGGAAGACAGGGCGGGACATATCAAGCAGCCCCGCCCCTTTTTAAAATAGCCAATAGCGTTCGTTTATATCACAGCTTGGGCTTGAGCCGTTCAGAGCCGTTGAGCTCCGTAAAGCCGCATTTGACAGGGTATGCCAGCCACAATCTCATCCATATTGCTATAAAATATAGCATTCTGTGTAGAATTCAAATAGCTCTGATACATTTTGTGGTCTGAGCCAACTCGCGCATGTGATCCGCTCCGTGCTATCGTGTCTCTGGACCGGAGCAGAGTGTGTGTGCGGTGCGGTGGTTAGCGTGACACAGCGCGAAACCAGACTTCTTTTTTTCCTCAATGGAAAGCATATTTACACTGTTTGAATCGTTCCCTGTTCTCTATATAGTGCACTACGTGCCATTCACTGTACAGAAAATACTAATTCTGTGGACAAGTGACCGATTTCAGCCGCGGCTTCAGCGTCTATTTTATAGTGAGTTCAGAAGGAAGGCAGGAAGTATGCAGGTTCGAGAGGAAGGATCTTTGGAGGTACATTTGGAACTTCAGAAGTATGTTTGGAAGCTCAGAAGAAAATGAAGGCAGGAACTACGCAAATTCGAAAGGAAGGACTTTCAAAGGGTTTGCAAGTTTGTTAAAAAGAAAGGAGAAAAGGAAGGAAGGACGTTTAGAAAGAAGAAAGTACATTTGATATTAAGAGGTTTGCTCATTTGTTTGGAAGGAAGGAAGTTTTGAAGAAAGTAGGGAAGGAAGAGAGTTTATAAGGAAGTCAAAGAAGGCAGAAACTTTACAGCCTTTTCAAGGGTTTGTTTGCAAGTTTGTTCAAAAAGAAGGAGGTAAGGGAGGAAGTAAGTTTATAAGTACATTTGAATATTCAGAAGTTTGTTTGGAAATGCATGAGGAAAAAATGAAGGAGCTATTCAAGTTTATAAGGAATATATGCATCTGGAAATTCAGAATTTCCAGAATTGGAAGGAAGGAAGCTTGCATGTTCGAAAGAAGGAGGTTTGGAAGGAAGTGTAAAGAGGGTTTATGAGGTGGGAAGTGCATTTTTAAGCTGTTTGGAAATTCAAAAGGATGGAAAGTAGGAAGGAAACAGTGCAGGAAGGACATTTGACACAAACATTTGATCAGAAACATTAAATCCGGTCTTGCCTGTCGGATGCTGCCTTTGGTAGTGAAGAACATATAGATGATATATGCGGGTACCAAAACCATAGAAGAGAGGGACATTAGCCAGCCGATGCCCTGACCCCAGGTCGGGTACACATACTTCCCTAGTGTCAGAGGAGTCATTTCTATGGCACTGAATGTGAAAACACCCTACAAACAGAAAACAGAAGTCAAATCAATTATAAGTTCATTGAGGACATGGGCTTTTAATTGTATTGTCAATCACTCAATTCATCATACAGTTGAATGAAGGGATAAAAGGAGTGACATACTGTAAAACATTTTTGTTTCTTTAGGGCTTTCATGGAATTTTTTGCATGATATTTTGATTATTAATTGATTGATTATTGAGCTTAGAAAACACATCTTATAGGATTTGGAATTACGTTTAAAGATTTTTATTTTATTTTTAACAATAACAATGTGTTACGTTGGCAGCCTGTAGTCTCTAAGTTTTATTTCATTGCTTGCAGGTGAAGTACTTACCAAACAGATTATTGGAGTAAAGTAAATCCAGCAATATTTCCAAAAGCCAAAAGGCCGATAACCAATCATGTCTTCAATATTTGTATAGAATTTCTCTGCACCTAAAGAGAGAGAAGAGATGGATATTTACACTTATCAAGCAAGCTAGATCTACTAGACTCAGTAAGAGCTTCTTCCTTCCACCCTGTCCCAAAACACACTTTTAACAGGATTCAGGAACCTAGCCTATTTTTTTTTTTATTTTTTTTTTTTTAACATGTATGTTGAGGGGACACATTCAATGCTTCATCACTACAGTATGGACTTTTCTGGCCAAAATTCAACTGAAAATGTTCATCTAATTTCATTGTTCTAATTTCATATGTACACAGTAAATCATTGTCTAACATTTTCTACTTGAAGTTTTACCTTTTCATGCCATAGTAAGTGCATTATTGTAACTAGTGTGTACACTGTAAAAAATGACTGTGAATTTAACGGTAAAAGACTAAAAATGCTACAGTAAAATCCTGTTAAATGGTTAACGGTAAATTCCCCTACTATATACAGTGAAAAACTGTAGTAGACATTACATGTATTGGACATTAATTTTACGGTAGTATACCGTTTTTGGAAGTGAAAAAGACCATATAATTTACAGTGAATAACAGTAAATTGACATTCCCAGAATTCCCTGCGTTACATTTCATTTTTTATGTTTTTTTGTTGAAATAACTATGTTTCTTCTTAGTTTTTTCTTATCAGTTTTGTATATTAGAGTTGTGTGTTACACCTAATGTTGTTAAATGAATGTTTATTGCATTATTTCAGTTTCATGTGTGTTACCATGATGGTGTTTGGTGTTTGTGTGAATGACACTGTGCACCTTCTATATATGTTATTATTTAAAAGCTGCTTGTGATGGGCTTTGGTTCATCATGTGACTTTCTCATCACCACCTGCATTTGGTGGTTATCAGTGTATTACAAAGGTACAAAACAGATTTCAGTACTTCAATAGGTTGGTATATTAACATTATATCAGTTAATGAAATTACGGTATTTAACTGTAAATTTAAGTTAAAACCGTAAAATCTAAAACGTTGCTACCGTATTTTTTACGGTAAAATTCCAGCAACCACAGCTGCCGTTTTTTTACCGTAAATTTTACGGATTTTTTTTTACAGTGTATTGTAACTACTGTGTTTATAAACTATTGGTACAAGGCAAAATTACTTGAAAACTTTTGACACTACTTGAGAACAGGAAGGAATCATATGGGAAAGTTAATGTAACTGGATGAAGGTCGGCTTGAACTCTTCAGATTTCATAAACTTCACATCACATTCACATCAAATATATTCGTCTCCTCGTCTCGAATATGTTTATAGTACAGGAGATGTACCGTAAAACCAGGAAATGGAGATTGTCTCAAAAAAGACCAGGAACAGGAGACACATTCCACTGGCCGAGTAGTAGTCAAACAATTTGAACACATATAAACCACCCTAAAACAAAGAACACACACATTAGAAACTGAAGAAAACAGTCAGTCGTCCCACTCAGTAAAACAGCTTTTTAGGCATCTTACCTGTGTGATGTTGGAGAAACCGATGATGAAGGATATAATACAGACCATGAGGATGAAGAGTTTCTTTCTCTTCCTCAGGACTGTGGGATATTCATCCATTAGAGCAGTTATGAAGCCTTCCACTGTACAAAACTGTCACAGACAAGTGTAAAAAGTATAAAATAAAAAGCGTTAAAGTGAAATCACATTGCTTTAGAAGAAAAAAGTCATTAAAATAACCCTAAAACTATATTATTGTTCATTCATTATCTTGTCTTTTTTTAAGTAATCATTTATGTTATAAAATTGTGTCATTTTGCTTTAAGATTCAAAGATCAAAACATATGGTGTTACAACTGGAGTACTTTATGATATTCATGGAGGTACTTATTTTTAATACACCTAAACATGACAGATAATTGATTGTAGTTTTTATGTTTTCACATGTTCTCTAACATGTTAGCTAAAATGGTTTCATGGCCTCTTTGAAGAGACTCGTTTGAATGTGCTAAATTCTCTTGTGATCTTCTTTGGCTTTACTTTTCACCTACCTAACACAACAAAACTAAAGTAACACCACATGCATAATTTATAACTTGTTTAGTTTTAATCATTAAAAAATCATTAAGCTCTGAAATCTATAGAAGAATAATGGTGCAATGCTGCTAAATGTAGCACCATTAGAGGAATATCGTGGGTTCAAAACAAGCTCTATCAATAACTCCATAGTCTCTGAGGCATCATGTCAACTACTAAGCAATAATTTAGACTCTTCAAATAGATTGTAAAATAAAAATATTATTAATAATTCAATTTACAAAGGTTTTTTTTTTCTTTTCTCTCGACAATGTGTAATACCTGACTGTCCAATCCCAGCATCATGAGCATTGAGAAGAAGAGAATAGCCCAGAGAGAAGACATGGGAAGCTGTGTGACAGCTTGTGGATAGGCCAGAAATGCCAAACCAGGACCTGATATTTAAACCATTAAACATAAGTGTCAAGATGAATCCTTTCAACAAATCACTATAATATTACTCATATATGACTTTAATTAAAGTACTGCACGTTTCGCTGCAGTTTCAAGAGAAATGTCCACTGAGTGGCGCTAAAACACAGGTTCGATTTGTGAACCCTGGCACATTTTTATTACGTTGAAATAGGTACGTATTGCTGTGTTTTTATTATGTTGCTTCTGGTACGTATTGCGGCGGTTCAGAATTCAAATATCCGGGGACTGACGCTGACGAACGAAGTTAATGCTCTATCGTGTTGGAAATATGCCCTACACCAAACCCAACCCTAAACCTACCCGATAGGGTTAACAATTGCAAAACTGATATAAAAACGCATTGGTTGATGCAACCGTGCCATTTGAACTTCCTTATATGCAGATTTGAACTGCTTTGTCGAACCGTGGTTACACGAGATTTGAACCGCAGCTCCTCACCTCACAAGTACGTCTCCGTACTCCGTGAACTACCGAACAAACCTACCGCCTATGAAAACCCATAGATATGAAGCTGGATATGTGCGATGTTAATGGTGCATTCAAGTCATGTCGGATAGATCGTATTTACTAGTTGAACGCACATGATCGACTTACGTAATTACGTAATCAACTCGTAAGTACGAACGTCCCAGGAGGACTTGAACGCAGCATAACATTCAAAAGCATTAGTTTTCAAATCTCCCAGCTTATTAATATTGTTTTGAAGTCATAACATGATATTCTTCAAGTAATTGTGCGAAAATTACGCTTTATTAATCGAAACTCTGTAAATTTGTGTGAAAAGGAATAAAAGGTGTCGGAGTTTTACTGCCTCTAGTGTTCATTTATTTTGGAAACTGCAGTGATGTGTACTTATTGGTACGTATTTCGCGTCTCGCTAAAAAGTGCACCCGGGTACATTTATGCCATGAGAACAGGTAGGAAAAAAAGTGTATTATTTCCATAATAAGTAAAAGTATGTTAAAACGTTTGCAACAATGCAATTCGGTAACGTCTAAGAGACACAATGACCTGAAGCAGCCAGTTCTTCAATAGGTCTCTTTGTGATGTACGACATGAAGCCAACAATGGAAAATATGACAATCCCAGCAAACATACTGGTGCAGGAGTTTATACAGCACACAATGATAGAATCTCTATAGAAAGAAAAAAGAATCAACATAAACTGAAGCACAGGGAAACAGTAGTAAACTGAAAAGAATTTCATAGAAAAGGCACTGTTAAAGACAGTTTGCACATCAGATTGTATGGCATGTAAACATCGTCAATACAGAATTTCTGTACATTTGGACAGAAACTAGTAGCTCTTACTTGTAGACGTTATTGTTGTAGGAGTTGTAGCTGCCCAGAGCAATAAGAGAACCTAAACCTAGACCATAAGAGAAGAAGATTTGCGTGGCAGCATCCAACCACACCTGAGAAGAAACATATGATAAGAAATATTGATAGTAACAAAAAAAAAATGTCAATGCATGATGCCATTATTGTTAGTAACATGCATTTTCAAATCCTTTAGCAAACCTACAGATTTCTACTTTAAAAGTGTAGCTTGACAAGTTAGAGAACAGGGTAATTTATGCCTTTCACAAGGGTGTAAAATCACAAAAGTTTATTGATACAATACATTAGCATATCAGTATTGCACAATACAGTGTCTATCATTGATGAAAAGTGTGTATATCTATGAATTGGTGTTCTATAAGTTTCTATGAGTTAGCAGCATTACTACTATAGTTATTGCGAATATAATAAGTAAAAGTATGTTAAAACGTTTGCAACAATTAAATTCGGTAACGTCTAAGAGACACAATGACCTGAAGCAGCCAGTTCTTCAATGGGTCTCTTTGTGATGTACGACATGAAGCCAACAATGGAAAATATGACAATCCCAGCAAACATACTGGTGCAGGAGTTTATACAGCACACAATGATAGAATCTCTATAGAAAGAAAAAAGAATCAACATAAACTGAAGCACAGGGAAACAGTAGTAAACTGAAAAGAATTTCATAGAAAAGGCACTGTTAAAGACAGTTTGCACATCAGATTGTATGGCATGTAAACATCGTCAATACAGAATTTCTGTACATTTGGACAGAAACTAGTAGCTCTTACTTGTAGACGTTATTGTTGTAGGAGTTGTAGCTGCCCAGAGCAATAAGAGAACCTAAACCTAGACCATAAGAGAAGAAGATTTGCGTGGCAGCATCCAACCACACCTGAGAAGAAACATATGATAAGAAATATTGATAGTAACAAAAAAAAAATGTCAATGCATGATGCCATTATTGTTAGTAACATGCATTTTCAAATCCTTTAGCAAACCTACAGATTTCTACTTTAAAAGTGTAGCTTGACAAGTTAGAGAACAGGGTAATTTATGCCTTTCACAAGGGTGTAAAATCACAAAAGTTTATTGATACAATACATTAGCATATCAGTATTGCACAATACAGTGTCTATCATTGATGAAAAGTGTGTATATCTATGAATTGGTGTTCTATAAGTTTCTATGAGTTAGCAGCATTACTACTATAGTTATTGCGAATGTTCTTAAATCATATACATGCGTTTAAGATCTCATCTTCGAGATTTTATCATTTCATAAAACAAATGTCATTTAAAATATCAAATACATTTCAGTATTCATCATTTTACCTCAGATTTCAAAAGCTTGTTGAAGTCTGGGGTGACATAGAAGAGGACGCCATCTATCGCTCCAGGGAGAGTGACTCCACGGAAAAACAGAATAAAGAGCATGAAGTAAGGATACGTGGTGGAGAAATAGACCACCTAATGAGGACAAGAGATAAATGAAAAGAAAGAGAGAGAGAAAGTGAGAATTATAGAGTAAACCATTTTAAAGTAGGTGTAGAGGACAACATTATTAACTTGCTAGTGTAATGCTTTCACTGGCTTCTGTTTGTTGATTGGTAGGAACATGGTTTTTCTGTGTAGGATAATGATTGCCCTTAATTAGCGATGTCTATCAAGGTTATAGACTGCCAGAAAATGTATTATTTTCTTCTTGCCCAGTGCAAGGATCACATTAAAATTCAATTACCCTCAGAGAAAGGGCAGATAAAGAAAGCAATTTTCCTTTTTCGCTGGGGAAAAAATAATAATAATTAAAATTGCTTACAATTTAATGTTAAGACATGGCCATTGGCAACTCATCATAGTGCTTAAACTGTGAAATTTCTGCACCACTTATGTTACCAAATGAAGTTGGAAAAATAATGCATAATATGCAAAATAAAGACATCTCATACATCTAGAAAGTGATGACAGAAACACACCAGCTATCTCACATCAACTAGAGTTTCTGGAAAGATCCCAAAGCTGTGCACAGCCCAAAGTCGGCAATTACACTCAGCGGTATGAACTCAAACTCTTCCATGTTTTTTTTGTTTTTTTTAATTCTCCTATAGTTTTTTTTTTTAGAATGAAACAACAAAGTTACATAAAACATACTTTAAAACTTCAAGAAGTCTACTGAGCAATGATAAAGCAACTGAGCAATATATTTTCCCCCTGAGATTGTGAAATGAGAAGACAAGTATGCGGTAAAGGTTTGTCAGTTTTTAGAAACATTTCTGGGGTGTTGTATGAGGAATAGAAAGAATATGGGCAGTCACACCTTCCCTGTCCACTCCACTCCTTTCCAGATTGAGAAATAGACAAGAATCCAAGACAACGCTAGTGTTCCAACCAACGGCCAGCGCAATTCCCCTGGTTCCTCCAAACCGTTTGTTAACTGATGCATGTTCCTCCTATAAAGTAAACAATTATTTAGTTAGACTGTATTGTAACTTGTGCTTTTGTTGAAATAGTTTATATACTGTATATGTATATTCTCAATGGAATCAGAAATACATCGGCAAATGCTTTTACCAGCTCAGACAGGAAAATAACTACTTGATCAGTGCAACTGGATTTTAGCTTACAACTTCATTAAATATTTTACAAAAATATTCTTATCCCTGTTCTCTTGACTCACTCCCAGAACTCAGTGACGGCACTGGTCAGGTTGGTGGTGTCCATCAGGCTGTAGTTGGAAAAGCAGCGATCAGTGTTCCAAGGGTTATCACATGTTTGCCATGGTAACTCCTAAAGAGAGAGAAAGTGCACTTAATTGTATTGAAAGCACTTGTAGTGTACTTCAAAGCTAAAAAAAAAAAAAACACACAACTGTACTTCAGATATTACAATATTCATAAAATAAAACCAAACAGCTGATGGTCCTCACTGGAAAAATACTATGGAAATCAATGAGAACCATCAACTGTTTAGATACACACATCCTTCAAAAAAAACGTATTTTATGTTCAACAGATGAAAGACATTCATACAGGTTTGGAACAACTTCAGTTTGAGTACATGATGACAGAATTTTCATTTTTGGGTGAACTATCCTTTCAAGTGTCGTTAACAAGGCTTTAATGGCAAATTCATGACTATGCTTCTTAACATTATTAAAACGTGCAATGTGTAATGTCTAATGTTTTAGTTTAAAGCAATTTTTTAATTATGTTTTAATGATATTTGGTCATGCTTTAAAAAGAACACTTATTTTAATGTGTTGACTAACATACTAAATCAATAATTCATTATAATTTGAACTGTAGTGTTAACTGTCATGTATTCGATATTTATAATATTTAAAGCTAATACTTTTTAAATTTACTAAATTGCAAATTCATCACTGTGCAAATGACATACAAGTTTCAGTTGACATAACCTTACAGTAAATTTTAGTTTACCATAAATGCTTGTTAGTAAATTTGACAGTATACGTTTGCAATATTTCAAAGACAATAGAAGTAATCTGAGTGGCTTACATTATGTTGCTATGCGGTTGCTAAGGTGTCTGTTAGGATGCTAATAGTTAATAGACATGCTGAGTGTTTTTTAGTTGGCTACTATGTGGCTGCTATGCAGTTTCACCATGTTCTGAGTAGTTATTAGCACCACATGCTATTGTGGTTACTAAACAAAAAACATTTACAAAGTAGAAGAGCAGACATAGAATTTAAAAAAAAAAAGTATGTGTATTAGAGGTTTGTTCAAATATCTCCAAGTATGTGCAGTCATAGTAGTTAGTGATACTTGCTTTGGCAAACACCACCATGTGAAGAATAAAGTTAAAGGATAAAGCAAATTGAGTAAAGCAATGAATGGCAGATGAAAAGCATTCAAAAAATAATAGCACAATGCATTCATAAAACAAAGGCCTGTTTTCTTTCCAATTCCCTCTGCACTGCTTTAGAGAACTCTTATTCCCATGGCAGAAACTGCAGTTCAATTTCCACAAAACAGAGGCAGTTATTATTTCTGTGGAGCCTTTAAAACACTCTCTAGAGCAAAGACAGAGCCACAGAGAGTTTAAGGGGGTCAAGGAGGCGGAGAGAGATACAGAGAAACGGGGAGGAAGAGAGAGCTTGAAAGAAGAAGCAATTCTGAGAAATTCTTTGAAAGTCTAAGACAAGTGTGTTTGAATTCACTGGGCTAGATAAAGACACGCATGGTGGGGTGAAAAAAACTATTTGACCAACGATTGCAATTAAGAAATCTTTGTGTTATTCAAATTATTAAGGAAACAAAAATGGCAGCAAATACCCCACATTTTCTAACGATGTGCTTTTTTTGTCTAATGAGGAGTTCCCTAACTGTAGATGTTGAGTAATGTTTAAACTGGACACTAAATAAAACAT